TAAGCGTAATTTTTATTAAACTTTCCATCTTTCTGATGTATTGCTGAAAGAGTTTTAGAAAAATAAACTGTAGTTTTTAGTGATGAAGATGTTTTGGAATAATTGATCCTTCTTCTTAAAAATTAGCTGAAGAATGGCTAGTTTAACCAATGATACATCTTTCGCTTCATGTGAACATTCGTTAAGATACGAAAAGATAAGAAAACTTTAATTTTCCAAAAAAAAGCTCTTAGCTGAATTTAAATTTTTTTGTTGAACATCTAAAAACGTCAACGGTAATTTTGGGAGTTAGTCTGTTCAAGATCCATCACGGCAACAGTACGCACTGTTACTCACCCGCCTAATATTGAAAATTGAGAATCAATCTACAGCTTTTCAACTAAGTGAGAAGTTTGCAAAAGTTTACGGTCAATTACAAGACAAAAAAGAAAACTATATATGTTTCGTTCGACGGAGTAAGGATTTATTGTTCGGTGCGTAGGTAATCACAGCCAACAAAAATTGCATAAAAAATGAGATTACCTATTTAAATGGAATGAATAGCGTAATCAGGCTGAGTTGCTTTATTTCCGCATATGTGGAGACTAAATTTTTTGCAGTCGGTCGAGTACATACTTCCAAAAATGTCTTATAAAATGCTCATGATATAAATTATAAAGAAGACTCCGGTAATAAATGTACTGCTCGATAAGTAATTATCGAATTCTTTAAGCTTTCTTCCCGTTAATAGCTTTCCACATCGTAAACGCTGCTGCAGCATACTTCTAAAAAGTAGCTCTTGCTGATGATAGTTATTGTGCATTTGATTTGAGGACTGATCGAGATTACAATGCCGTAAAAAGAAAATTGAATCCCCTTCATTCAAACAAAAGTTTGCCAAGTGGGTTCTCTTAGAGTACTCAATACGTAACCTTAGAAAAAAAGATGTTCATTTATTGAAATCAGTATTTCATAAACTACTTTAAATCGGTGACAGGTAAATCGACCATACAAAAAAAAAATATTTTATCCCCATGAAGGTCGCGCAGAACGTTGGCACTGTCAATTGTACACTGCAAAAATATTGTCCAACCTTAAGCCCAAAACTGAAACCGTTAATCATTTTTCGCTATACCAAACTCATTCTTCATAGAATCCGCTCGGAATATCTAATTTAAAGTAGAGACCCATAATTGTCGGTCATACATCCATATTTCCTTGAAGACTGAGTTATATAGAAGAGTTTTGTGATTTAATCTTAGACCTGAATTTTTAATTAAGTTACAATTGCTATATTTTAGTAGGAATTTGGATTTTCCGCGTTAATCGTCTATAGAGGAGTATACTCGTACTCCACTTGCTTGAGGTATTCAATAATTATCTTTTATGGGCCAGTTTGACAGCTAACTGTAAATAAGTTTTAAGTGAATTTGAAGCTTTCTTGTGGTTGTTATTGTTGTAACCGCAAAAATATTCCCCTAAGTACTTTTTGGGGAATGTTGCGGGAGTGACAGTCCTTGGCCGGATAAAAATCTGGGTCGTTCCGGTATAAAGACCCGACTGTCGCGGGTCGCCTCTTGCGACAGACAAGCTTTCTTCTGCAAAGTCGTCCGCTTTAGCTGAAAGCGAAGATGTCAACGTAGATGTTCGCCTTTATTTTCCCCTTTTTTTCCAAATAATTAATACGCAGAAAAGACTTCATTTTTTAATTTCATGTCAGAAATACACTCGGAGGGCTTGTCATCCTTTCCGGGGCAGTGATATAACTTTGGACTTTGCTCGAACTAGGACTCGTACCCTCTTCTTCCAAGTTGTGGTACACAACTCCGCTATCGCGGCCGTCATATTCATATTGGCAACCATTATTTTTAACCAACGATATTCTGCGAAACGCGACGCACTTTGAAGTTCTAACAAACTTCATAAAAAAGTAAAATATTTGAAAATAAAAATGAATTTGCCTGTAGCGCGGTTTTAGATTCATCGTTCCATCGCCATTCGCCGCTGTCAATACACAATGGGCCATAGATCGTTCGCAAAACTTTTCTCTCGAAGTCTCCCCAGGATGACGACATTGCACAATCCTCTGCACCATTGAACAGGACAGAAATGATGGGGGACTGGAAAAGTTGGTTTTTGGTTCGCCGAAAGAGGACTTTACTATTTAATTACCTACTCAGTCCAAAGTAGCATCTGTTGGGAAGAATTAATCCGCATTGTATTTCAATATTATTGGTTTTCCAAGTATTGCCGAAAATCAGTTCTTTCCGTGGCCGCGTAGGGAATTTGACATCTTGCCTAGGCTCAGATGTTTATAGGCTACCCAGACACTTTGTCTAAGACCATAAATTCAATTGAAGTTACGATTTGGTACTGATTTTTATGTTTGCTCTTAAATAAGTATAAGAAAACAATTTAAAAGTAGACACGTTTTTATTCAATTTTCTAGTTTACTTACAAACTTCTTGCCCCAAAAGAAACCAGCGTTTTTTTAAAAGAAGGCATTTACATTATTTTTTAATTTATAATGATCTTTAATCAATTTTGTAATTTGCCACTAATTGCGCATTAAATTTACAATTCGGTAAATACAAATCGAAATCGATATGTACTGTAGTTACGAATGATGAAATTGACACGGCAATAGTGTGAGCAGAAGGGGAATTCCACGCGCACGGCAGTTACACAGGAACTTGGCTGGTTTAAGCGGGCGCTTAAATACTAGTTTTTAAAAATGATTCTTGTGTACTAGTCAATTTTTTCGCAGCAGGTCGCTTGTGCTCATACATATACACCCACTCTTATAATTATATATGTAAATGCCTGCACACATACACCTTTCGAGAATTTATAATGTAAAGCAGCATTTAACTGCACTTGAGGACGTGTACCGCAGCCGTGAACCTTCGTTTAACTACATTTGCCTCTGTGACATAGTAGAATATATAATATACGTGTGTATAAATATGTACGTACGAGTGAAGCTTGTTTCTTTTTTCTTCTCAAACCTGAATGTGAAAGAAGGAGACACTTTTTTAAATTTACGCTAATTAGGAAAGCAAAATCTTCGTATGTGAATAAAGTTGGGTAAAAAAAGATTTAAGTATGTATGTACGTATGTGTAGATTTCAATGAAAATTTTCATCTTCTTTCAGCGGCTTCCTTTTCTTCTTTACTGAAATATTTACTACTGACGCTCTTATAGCCGAGTTAACATTCCTACTCCAGTGGATTTATCCAACCCCCCTCCGATCTCTTCCTCTGCTTCCACCGATGGGTATTGCATCGAATACATTCAAAGTTCCACTGAAAGGACAGGGCAGTGTGCCTGCCTTGGTAGTAACTTTAATTTCGAAGCTTTCATCTTTTTCTTTTAGAGTTCATTCTGATGTGAAGTTACCCAAGTCCAGCGCATTATCTTATTACAAGACCGACGCGCAGTTGCAGTCTTGCATCTCAATATTTTCTCACGTTACCAGGTTGTGCGTGAACTTTCTTCCAAAATGTAAGACCTACTATGACAGTTTTCGGCAAGGTTTGTAGACGTTACGATATATATCCAGTGGGCGGGATTTGATATCTATAATACAAAAATGAATCGCAAAATGAAAGCGCATAACTCAACAACGCCTGAACCAATTTGGCCAATTCTTTTTTTTTAAATGTTCGTTGAAGTCCATGGATAGTTCTTACGGCGAGAAAAAATCGAATAGTTGCCGGGAAACCCCTAAAAACAGCCCTTTTTCTTTTTCACATACAAACATTTTCTAACTAAAACGTAGAATCAATTTGAGCTTTATTGCTATTATATAAAGTTCATATTAAATTACAAGCAATCACTGTTATCTAAGAAATGTTGGTGTGTTCCTAACGTCAAAAAGTCAATTTGCACTTTCTTACCGCTATACAAAGTTCAAATTCAATTATCGTGTGCGTGTTTGCGTTGGAGCTCAGAATACGTCGTTGGAGGATTTAATGTCGCGTTCCGAAACTAAAAAAAGTACCAGGATACCCAGATGTATATTCCACCGATGCGATTGGTCGAATTTATTCAGTACATCCAAGCAGTGATGAATGTTTTTATTTATGACTGCTATTAGTCAATGTACGTGGCCCAACATCATTCCAACATTTACGAGCTATTGATGGTGAATTGTGTGGATCCTACAGAGAAGTCTGTCAACGTTTACAATTGCTAGAAAATGACGCTCGTTGGGATCAAACTCTCAGTGATGCTGTAATATCTTCACACGCTCATCAAATACGAACATAGTTTTCTATAATCATATCTACATGCTTCCCATCAAACCCAACTGATTTGTGGATCAAGTACAAAAATTACATGTGTAATGATATTTTGTGTCAAAAACGGAATAGAATGGGAAATCCAAGTATGCAAATCAGTATAAAAATTTACAACGAAGCATTGATTTCAATTGAAGACATGTGCTTGATGATGTCAAACAAACTACTAATTCAATTAGGCCTGGCCGCGCCCAATCGTCCAATGCATGATGGTTTTAACCAAGAGTTGCACCGAGAAAAACTGTATGATCTCAACACTTTGAAAGAATTAATTCAAACAAATCTTCCACTGTTGAATGAACAACAGAGGTATGTATTTGATACTCTTATGAAAGGAAAAAATGATGAAACTGGGGGGATTTACTTCTTAGATGCACCTAATGGTACAGGAAAAACTTTTTTGTATTCATTAATATTAGCAACAATTCGCTCTCGGGATTCGCAGCAACTTTGCTTGAATTGCCATTAAATACGCAAAGTAACCTGCAACATTTCGAAGAACTCTGCAATGGCAAAGGTTTTGCAGCAATGTCAATTGATCGTTTGGGATGAATGCACGATGGCACATAAAAAATCTTTGGAGGCTTTAGACAGAACCTTAAAGGATCTACGGAGCAATCAGAACTGATTTGGTGGTGCGATGATTTTATTAGCAGGAGATTTTCTTCAAACATTGCCATTGATTCCACGATCAACGCCTGCTGATGAACTCAACGCATGCCTAAAGTCATCCAATTCGTGGAAATATGTCAAAGTACTTCATTTAAGCAAGAATATGCGTGTTGAGTTGCAAAATGACCAATCTGGAAACATATTCTCTAAACAACTCATTGACATTTGTAATGGCAATTTTCCTATTGACATGTTGACTGGATGCAATTAACTCAATCAAAAGAAGAACTCATTCAGAAGGTATTTCAAAATTACAGAAACCATGATTGGTTAAGCGAACGAGCTATATTGGCAGCCAAAAACATCGATGTAAATGAATTAAATTTCAAAATTTAAGAACAAATTACAGACGAATCGAGGATATATAAATCAGTTGATTCGGCAACTAACCAAGACGATGTAGTTAACTATCCACCGGAATTTTTAAACTCGCTGGATTTGCCAGGATTACCACCTCACAATCTTCAATTAAAGGTTGGATCCCAATGATTCCGACTGATGTGCCATTTGAGTTTAAACGACTACAGTTTCCAGTGCGGCTTGATTTTGCTATGACCATAAACAAATCCCAGGAGCAATCATTAAGTGTTTGTGGTATTAATTTGGAAAACCCACGTTTCTCACCTGGTCAATTGTATGTTGCCTGTTCCCGTATTGGAAAACCATCAGATTTGTTTGTCATCGCTTATCACAAAGCACTACAATGGAAATAGAAATGATTTTTTTGTTAATAATTATGATTTACATGATTAAAATTACTAACTTTTAAATGATTATAGTGTTTTATTTAATTATTTTTAATTCACACCGAATTATTACCAGGGTGAATATAAAAAAGGTAGCAACAAAACACTGGCACATTACAATTTTTTTTTACAGGAAGAAGTCTATCGGGTCAGCTAGTTATATAATAAAAAGAAATAAGTTTTTTTCTTTCAGAAATGTAAATATAGGAAAAAATTCATTTACCGGAGAAAACATAAATTACGTAAATTTTGTTTTTGATTTCACCTACTGACACCACCGCAATCCAGCTATGGACACTCAAAACTTAATGCTCCCAATAAATAGTTTAGTTTTTTTTTCATAATAATCCAAATATCAGTCATTGTAAACAAGGCGTTGCCATTTTCACAAAAAATCGATTAAACACAAACATATACCAGTTAGTTCAAACATTCAAACGCTGGCAACAATCATTTCATGATACATTCCACCTGATCGGAATTTCACTGCCAGAGATATTCTAGATATTCTCAACAACTTTTCAACTCCCATTATTTTCGAAGGTGATGTAAACGCCTGGAGCCCACTCTGGGGTTCAACTTCCACAAACAAAAAAGGAGAAATATTTGACTACATTATCCTTTCTAAAAGCTTAATAGTCCACAATGATGGAGCACCCACTTATTTTCCACCCATAAAACATTTACCAACCCCGATATCAATTTTTCCTCTGCTACCAAAGCTCTCAACCAGAACCTTGGACGAATTACACAACAGTGATTTTTCCTTTTTTTATCAACCATTTCTAAGCTAAGTGTCAATAAAAAAAACCTCTGGCAAAATTTCTTATTGAAAATTCAGAATGGCAGATGTTTTCCGTAATTGCAATAAATATATCTCACCTGTCTCCTGTCTCAAATAATATAAACGCCGAAGCGGCATATCAAACGTATTATACGTACAGCAGTCCACATAGCTATACCCCAAAGCAGGCCAAAAGTTTCCTCTGCCAAACTTCCTTATTGGAATAATCTTCTGTCTACCTTAGGAAATAGTGAGCTTGGAAAGAATACAAGAGAAGAGAGGACAGATGATATCCTGGTCAGATTCAAAAAAGCAAAAAGTTTATTTAGAAAAAATATAAAGAAATAAAAAGAAAAGAATTCGAAAAACTCACCGCAAACATTACTCCATCTCCTCAGAATATCGGAGACATATCTCTTTCATTCAATCTAGAGGAGGTCCTATCCACGAACCTGTCGGTATTGCTGAAATTTTTGCCTCTACTTGGTCAACTGACTCCCATGACTCGCATTTCTATTCCGTATTTAATACTTTAAAATATAAAAATATTTCTTTTGCCTACACGTACATGTCTCCTTCCACAGAAGCCATTTATGTTGATTCTCCAATCTCTATTAAGGATGGTACTCTTTCTTCTATGCGTGGAAAAACACCTGGTGCAGACAAAATAACCTACACTCTTCTAAAGGGACTCCCTTTTACTCTGCCAAACTTAGACTCATCGATCTCTATAATTTAATTTTGGGTCAAGGTGTATTCCCTCAAGAATGGAAAATTGCAACAGTACTGACAATTCTCAAACCAAGTAAAAGTAGTTCTTCCATTGCTACTTGCAGACCCATTTCCCTCCTCTCCTGTTTATGAAAGGTATTTGAAAAAATCATTTCTCGCCGATTACTCTGGTATTACGATAAAAACTGTTTAAATAAACCTCAGTAGTTCGCATTTCAAAAAGGTTTAAATGTAGATTATGAAAAGGCGTATGATAGAATCGGCTCCCATGTCATTCTCTCGGAACTTAAACGTTAGAAGGTTGGATCAAAAATCTTTAATGTCATTAAATCTTTCCTTAGTAATAAAAAGTTCTTTGTTCGCGTCAATAACCGAAATTCGAAAATTGCTCCCATCTTTAATGGAATCCTCCTTTTTCTTCTCTTTCAGTAATTCTATTCTCTATTGCATTTCACAAAATCAGTTCAATTAAATCTTCCTTTTCTCACGTAGAACATTTCATTTATGCTGACGATGTTGTCATATTTTCACTAGTTAAAGATTTAACAGTAATCAGAACAATCTTTTTAGAAATCTTAACTGATTTAATCAATTGGTCTCATGGCTCAGGAGCTAAGCTTTCTGTCAACAAAAGCTCCTTCTTTCCCATTTGTAGAAAACGCCGTTGATCCCCTTTTCCTTTTCCCTTAATGACGTCTCCGTCCCAAATATTGACACATTAAAGTTATTGGGAATAATATTTGAGAAGAATTTAACATTTAAGCAACATTGTAAATTCATTAGAATTACTAGTAGCTAAAATTGACTTTCGACTAGCAATCTATGGACACTGTGCAAAAAAAACATCTGCAACTGTTGCAATTTTCCCACCACACAGCAGTCAGAAGGAGTATTCAAGTATTTCCTACCTCGCCAATCAAAGCAATTTTAGCTGAAGCTGGTTTACCTGAAATTCATGATAGAGTATTGTACAACACATTGATGCTAATAAGAAAAATCTTAAACTGCAGAAATGAGTACCCGTTCTCCTTCGTGCTGCCCTCGCAACAACAAAAAAAAACTGTGCAAAGAGGCCATCTACTATCGCTCGCATCTTAAGTTGCATCGAACAACTTGGTATCATATCGAAACCAACACTAAAACAAGTCATATGACTCCCTCATTCCCACTTGCCAGACTCCGTTCTTACAAGCGATTTACTCAAGCATCCAAAAGAGAATATTTCGGCAAGTGAATATAGACAATTATATATCGAAGTAAGCGAGCTTTCAAGGATGGATTGAAAGTTCCTGTTTACAGTTGGCTCCAGATAAGATACCAGCTACCGCAAATGAGCTAGGTGTTACTATTACCGTCGGTGCTCTGCCAATTTACTGCTCGGTGTATATGCTCCGACAGCAAGTTTACTATTAAAGCCGTATTTAACAACACCAATGATTCCTACATCATCTCCAGTATCAGGGAGGTACTCTGGCAAAATAAAAATTCAATAAAAATATGTGGGTACCTTGGCATGTTGGTATCAAAGGAAACGAATATGCTGATCAAAGAGCAAAGGTCGGTGGTTCCGAAGCATACATCTGTTTGACTATTTCACCGAAAAAGACATAAAAAAAATTAGTAATCAGTCACTTGCAATCTTGGTTTTCCTCCATATGGATCAGCTACCAACATCATTATAAAAACATTAATTTTGACGGTAATAAGATCCTTCATCAATTTCGTGTAACAAAATAAGAACTTTCGTTCGACTGAGAATTGGCCACACAGTTTTTTCACACTCCCATCTCCTTAAGGGAACCGATAAATCGCCTTGCCCATTTTGTGGATCGAATCAAATAACAGTTTTACATATTCTGGATGATTGCGTAGAATTAAATGTAATTAGAAATGCTTTATTTAAATGCAACAAACCATCGGAAGGCCTTAAGAAGACAGATGAAAAAACCATTAACATTATTCATAAGTTTTTCTTGGTTTGTAAGCTGATAGTCTAATATTTAGAGTTCCTCTTAACACGTCCTTCATACTTTTTAAATGTACGCATATATGTTTGCACAGCAAAACCCTTGGGAAGATTGATATCTCACTAATAATCTTTAATGGGTATATTCACACTTTTTCTCCTATATATTAAAATACTATATATGATTATATGTTAAACCGAAGCTCAAAATGTTAAATTCTTTTATAGATAAAATTTAAAAAAAAAAATATTTTAAAATTTACGTCAAGAAACATATGTTTTTGCTCTTGTCGTCACCTAGTATTCTATAAACCTTGATGTTTGGGTTTGTCCAAAGAACAGAATCAAAGCAATTTTTTGAAGAAAAGCAGTCTAGAAAGTGTGTGAAAAGATTTTGCAGTATGAATTCTCCTTTTCGTTAGTGAGTATTTTTGTTTCATTTCTCAACTAATTTGGCATAAATTTCAGCCTAGAAAACGGTTTCATGTCAGACATATATATTGTACATACACTTGGCTGGTTTCGGCATTCTTTGTCGATAAGTGACAGAAATTTGAAAAATTCTTTTTGGTTGTCTGCTAAGAATTTGAACCCATAGCTATGTGCGCTGCCAACCACTCGTGTACCATGGCTGCTGTAACATTTTATAATTATCGATTTTTTTTTTTTCAAAAGCCACCCTTTCTTTCCATCATCCTCACTCCACTTAGGAATTCCTCCAAAATATCTGTGTACCATACGTGGGTGATTATGTTTGTAAGGTTCAGAGGTACGAACTGTTGCTCCCTCATAATGGCTGGAGCACGAATTTAAAATACTTGTATTTATTTTCTCAATAGCCCGCAAGTTATAACCATAAACACTATGTACCACAGCTGCCGAGGACGGAGTATACGTATTGAATACCAATTTGTGAGTGAGATACCCTTCTTGTCCTTTTATGCCCCATCTACTGTCCAATTTATTGGTTCATCCATAGACTGTGGTACAATATCTCGGGATAATGTATTTATTGTGTGAACTAGTAAACATTTTTATATACATATGTATGCATGTATTTATGTACACATATAAACATATATACATATACTCGTATGTATACAAAGATGATATAATAGCGCCTATTGTATATAATTCGTGCGAGTCTCCACATACTGACAGTGGCCGAATATGTGTATTGGCATCGATGCATCGATGTATGCACATACATACGAGTATATATGTATGTTCGTACATTACACTACAAAAATGTATGAATCAGAGTATGTTCGCTCTAGCGCTTTTGTTAACTGGTTGTTTGTACTACAGTGATGTATCACCTGCCAATCACTGTGGCTCGAGTATGTATTCATATACAGCTTGACTTGAAGAATGCGTCTATTTGAATGCGGATTACACTAAGCTGCTTAGAAACGTCAAACAACAATTCTCTTTCTTGAACGTAAGATTCCTTGAGCCAATCGCTGCATGCATAGAGGCATGCATATATATACATATATTATATGTCCATATGTAAGTAACTATATAGCCAACGTGTGTTATCCTTAAATAGCAACGCATAAACTTTTTACTCTTTCAATCGTATGTGAGCGTCCTGTAAGTGGCAGTATTTGTTTGTCGATGAGTTACTCTTATCTGAGATTATTTGTTCATTCGTAAAAAAAAAATGGGTACAATAAAGTAAATAAATTCCTTTGGAGAACGTCGTCACTATTTCCAACTTTTTCAATTAATCTTGAAAGAGTCCAAAGGGTGTAGCTGGAAATATAAAATAAATATGCAGAAAAAACTTTGTTTGTTTAATCGAACACATAAATAATTCATATTGAGGTGTCTTTGGATGTGCCAAATTGGCACCTGAGTGTCGCTCAAACGGTGCCAACTACGCTGCACAAAGCTTTTGCTGGAGTATACAGAATTGCAGCTTCTTCGAAATGTATAAGAATTTCACGCCAAGCCCCTTAAAGTATTGTTTTCTAACACTACATTTTTGAATTATCGTTCATCATAGCGGCGACCACAATTAGGAAATTTTTTCTATACCTTTAGACCCACTCTCCCACACTTCGTATGGCGGCCTACCAATCGCCTACTGCGGTCACCATTTCGAGAATGTATAATATGAACTTTCATTTTACTTTTTTTGGACTATAAACTTGGATTTTTTCCAATCCGTCTTACAGTTCTATTCTCACTGTTGCCGGTAAACTAAATTTAGTTATTGTACTTTTTTTAACACCCGAAATTAAGTTTGGTCTGAGTTAGCACACAGGTTGCCTTGTTGACAAGACTCTGGCAGCACTGCTTTTTTCGACCGCGTCAAATTATATTTACCAGTTCGTAAAGTAAATAGAAGAATATTCACATTGAAATGGAAGACGGAGCGCAACAAAATAAATAAGTTTTGTTTATTGATTTATGAAGTCATAAATAATTGAAACCAGTTATGGAAAATAAGACAGGGCGACAAAAAAAAAAGCTGAACGAAAATTAAAAGTGTCATTTTTTCTCGCAAACTTCTTATCAAGCACCTTTTCGCACTTTTCTTCACATTCAATTCTAGGCGTGAAATATGCCTACACATTTCGGTTTTTATTTTTTCTCAAACTCACAACAGAAAATCAAACAGCAGATTGTTTGTTACCTCCCATTTCGAGGGTAAAAAAATTTACAGGGTGACAGTAAACTCAGAATACGAAATAGTAACAAAATTTACTGAATGGTTAATTTTAATAGCAATGTCAGTTTTATTACCCATACAGAATAGGCCTTTTAATTAATCTTCGTAGCCTCTTCAAGTTCGAATAAACAACCTTATTTACTCGAAAACACGTGGGGATTTCCAAATTTTAAGCAATATCCTGACCTGAATAAAACAGTGTAATTATTTTGGATAAAAGTATTTTGCATAAAACAAAGACATTTTTAGGAGTGTGACCCTTAGATTAGTTTGAGAGCCTTTTAATAAGACCTTTTTTTGCGGGGAGCTTAAAATATCAGGTGTACAACTTTGCCTCCGCCGTTTTCCGATAGGTGGCTGTACCGGCTGAGGCTGGTTGAAATACATAGATGATAATGCCTTTAAAGTGAGTGTGGGCAGTGCCTAACGAATTGTCATTGCCGTTTCAGTGACAGTTGTTCTTGTTTTCGTATTATTCACGCTCGGGAGTGGTTTCAACGTTTTAAAAATGGTGATATCGATGTCGAAGACAAACATGGTGGGATCAGCTAGGTGTGATTTACTACCAGCTCTTAAAGCCGGGTGAAACCATCACAGGAGATTGCTGCCGAACGCAACTGATGCGCCTTAGTCGCACGCTAAAATAAAAGCGGCCAGAATATCTAGAGCGACAAGACAAAATCATCCTCCAACACGACAATGCTCGGCCTCACGTCGCAAAAGTGGTCAAAAAGTACCTGGAAACGCTGAAATGGGAAGTCTTGCCACACCCGCCGTATTCCCCAGATGTCGCCCCTTCTGATTTTGCCGGTAAGATGGGAGAAAGTTGTGGCTAGCGAAGGACAATACTTTGAATAATATATCTGTAAGCAAAGTTGTACACCTGATACTGTTTCAACATTTTCGATCATTTCAGTCACCGACACTCACAGTATTCCTCACACCGCGCGGTATATCGAGCATTTAGAATCAAAGCTTTTTAAGCTTTTATTCCATCATTATAAATTTAATTTTTTTCATGTA